AGGTTGTGGGACATCGACACAGGCAAGGCCATTGCTAAATGGACAGGTCATAGAGATCGAGTGCCGTCTGTCTGCTGGAGCCGAGACGGTCGGAGAGTGTTAAGCGGATCCTTCGATGGGAGTGTAAGGCAATGGGACGTGGGAAGCGGAGAGACAATCCTCAAGCCGATTGTGACTGAGCACTCATTAGTGCGGGCAGTCGTCTATTCACCAGATATGACCTTGATTGCGACTGGTGGACGTGATGGGCCCTCGCCTGACAGACCCAACGAGTGCTCCATCGAAATCTGGGACGCAAAGACAGGCAAGCTTGTCACAACTCTCAAAGGACACACATGGGAAGTGCGTAGCCTGGCTTGGACCAAGGACGGAAAAACGCTCATCTCCGGGTCATACGATTCCTCCATTAGGACATGGGATACCACCAAGTGGGAGCAAATTGCAGTGCTGGATAAGCACACTTTCCTTGTCCTTGCCATTGCAATATCACCGAATGGCCGCATCCTCGCAAGCGCATCGTTGGACAACACAGCGCGATTGTGGAACCTCGACAACGGACAACCCATCGGTTCGCCTCTCGAGCACGCAGAGGGAGTTCGTTGCGTATCATTTTCTGCGGATGGAAAGCTACTAGCAACCGCCTGCGAGGGCGAAACTGCGTACACATGGGATGTTGCTACGATTGTTCAAGAAGCTGGCCTCGACGACCTTTTGTCAGATTCAAAGGTGAGTTGACGAACATGTCTCATGGTATACTTTCTCACAACTGGATGCACTCTGCCAGGCCAACAAGTTGGCACTCCGTGTATGTGACAAATTCATAAAAAGATATTTTGCTCAACATATACACTCTAGGCTGGTGCTGCACCAAGTCTGGCCCAGCGACGTCCACCTGCTTATCGGATACCCCAAGGTTTCTTCAATGGAGTCCCACCAGATCGTTCTCATGTACGTCATCACTGTCACTTTGAGTATTATCCTGACCTCCGTAGTTTCAGTCCTCGGCACGAAGCCATTCCCACTCCTCAGCACAACCAGGCAGCACGCTTCTTGCCCGCTTGTTCCACCGCAGCCCCTTTGATGCCCAGGATACGTCACCGTCCTCCCCTCTCAAGTGGGCTCAAGCCCTTTTGAAACGGCGTGGACAAAGTAGTGAAAGCACCGAGTTGCAAGGGCGCAGCCAAGTTGTTGAAGTTCCGTGTGCACCAGGCCAACGTGTATGTTGCTTCTCCTTCTCAGTTCTACTCCACCTAATATCACGTAGAGAAACGCTTGCGCAAGGGAGAAACGGAAAAGACTAATACCCTTGAAGAACCATACTGCAAGCAGCTCACAGCCTCCCAGGCCCAATACCACGCAACAATCCGGCACAGCAACTCAGACCCAGCCATCTTTGCAACTACAGGCAGCTGTCTTCAATTCATCCACTGCACCTGCTGTCGGTGATAATACCGCAGCTACAAGCTCAACACCCTCCCACCCTGACGTAATGCTCAGACACGCTGGACTCTGGACTCGTTTCTGGCTCTTCATTGGTTGTCTGTCTCCTGAATACCAGGATGGTCGTCATTAGTATACGATTTCCCCATCTCCTATGATGATTTCTCGCCCACCTCTAAAATATTACAGCTCTCGTCGATAAGGGCTGCCTCTCTGCTAGGTCGGATTGGACGTCTGTGGTATTGATGGACATTTGAATGATCCGATATTCACTTCTCATTATCGTAGATCCGGATTTTATTGATTCATACTTCTACTTGGGGTCATTGTGTGAGCGATAGGGCGATACCATTGATTAGACGTCCAGCTCTGTGACGGATGTCCGCATAATCTGATATATTCTCCTACTCTGTTCCAGTATCACACAGGACCTGGCTCATCCACACTTTCGCCTAGGGTTTTAATCGTGTACTCTCATTTTTCCATGTCATCAGGACGAACGAAAGTATCAAGTTTCAGGTTGCAGCATACAGCTGTGTGTCATCGTATGTGATTGCGGCTGGGTCCATCCCACTGCTGCCGGATGTCGATGAACAAGAAAAATTCTTCAATAATTATAACAGGTGCTAACTGCAAACGTACCAATATCACAAGTATTAATTATTGGCACACTCGGTGTTCTTTAGAACGCAACTGCTTTCCAGCACTAGGTCAGTAGACTTCAAAAACCATCATCCTCGATCTCCTCACACTCACCTTCTACCTGTCCATGATACTCAGTAGTCAGAGTCATAATCCCTTTCGTCGTCGTCACCCTTTGCTTCTTCCCGTCGTTCCTTGGCACCTTCTCGCTCTTCTTCTGCATCCCGGGTGAGTCGGAGGCCACATGCATTTCGTATCCCCCGCGCGACCCATTTGTCGCTCAGCCCCTCAAGCATCAACTCATATGGCCTGTCATCACTTTCATCATCAGTACATGCAACATCATATGAAATACCGACAGCAGCGAGGAGAAGCCGTATGCCCCTTACGAGTGATCGTTGATATGCAAGCATGGCCTCTGAGTCGATTTCAGCAGGTTTTTCCAGTTCTCCGAACAATGCCTCGTGAACGTCAACGACTTCTTCCGCTTGTAATTCCACTCTTCCGCACTCGATGCGGTGCCAACGTTCGCCATAGTTCCAATCGCACTCATCATAGCAACCCCAGCATAAGGTCTGCCACCCATTGTACGCGTACACATGCGGAGGACCGCCCATCTTGAGCTCTTTTTTGATAGTAACTGCATTGTCTGCCATCGCAGATGGGCGGCGTTGGATCTTGTACCCGAGGGAATACTGCCATTCGACCTCTGACCGACGCGAGCGGCAGTGGTATTTAAAATGCACATCAATGTACATTGGTGTAGTGGGTGAGTAGATCCTAACTATATGATCAGTGGAGCGCGGCTGTCGATCACCATGGATATCAGCAATGGAATACAGTATCAAGAAGCTATACGCACTTCCTCGTCGTCGAGCACCGTGTCATTCCATAAAAAGGTGATGCATTTTTGGAGTGTGCCGTTCTCAATGTCCATTTCATCCTCGATCTGAGAAACGCATGCTTTGACGCTGTCGAAAAGCCAAGCTTCATTGGAGCACTTGTCGTATGCATACTGTTCAGAACCGTCTTCTGAGCCATGCTCAAAGCCCTTGCGTGACACCGAGACAGCTGTGTGGTACTTTTGATTGGTATGGAGACGATTGATGGAATAATTGGTCCACGCGTTCTGTGTGGCGCGAATTGGGTGAAGTAAGGGACCAAAGTGATGTTCCGCCAGTTCAAGTCCTTGTAGATCGGTTTTAGCTGCTGAAGGACCAGCACTATTTGTACTTGCAGGCATGATGGAGAGTGAGGTACGTGCAGAGCCTACTACGTGAACGATTTGGATTAATGGTGAGGAAGTGATGCAGTATATTGATCTTCACGTGATCGTGATACTTATAGTTGTTCGCTTCCCCACTATCATAGCCAGAATTCGGAATATCTCCCTTCACTGGATGTTGAAAGACACAATAGATGAATCAGTCCTAGAAGTGCCCTTTCTTGGCATCCAGACTATTTCATTCAGCAAAAGGCTCGGATGGGATGGTACATAACATCTGGCATGGAGTTTTCCTTTTCAGTGTGCTTTTGATGACGTTGCCTGTAGCCAGGCCGCGCTCTTATGGTGCGCATAGATCTACATGCTCACGAATCTGCAATGCAACTCTTCCAGCAACATGGACGTGTCTAGGAAAACTTCCTCTATGTTGACATATGTTGTAGTTGCTCGAGAAGGGGACACGATCTACGGCTGTGCATTGACTCAGGAGGGGGTACAAGAGATGCTATTTCCGCGATATTGCACGGTGAATGAGGGTACCACAGCCCAGCGGCAAGACTGGACTGGTCAATAAACGGTAATGGCGAGAGATACTATCTATCATCTCCATAGGGCTTTAAACACCGGACGCATTGATTTAGAACGTGAACCAAATATGTCAGAACAAGCTGATAAGCTATTCCTGCAGCTCAGAAGAGCAGCTGGACGTCCTTTCTGAGGTATTGAGTGACCATCATTCTTGTTTCGTCCTTCAAATCTTGATCAGCAATGTGACAGACTGGCTGGCTTTACAGATGACCTATGTGAGTGATTGGGTGATGTCATGGGATGGTCGTATGTGATGGATATCTGCGTGAGATTTGATACGGTGACTTCTCCTACCTCTCCGTTATAGATATCGCAGGAATGAACTTGGAAAATCATACTTTCGCCTGGGTTACTCGTGTGAGTGATAGGGCGATCAGATTCACACCTGTAATTACTCGACACTCATTTCTCAATCTTCCTGCGTTTCTCCCATCCACAGTCATCCAAGTCACCAGTTTCATTGACGAGCCCTGCCTTTACGAAGGCTTTAAAGAAGACATCGTCGACCGTTGGAAGAGGCATTGGACCGTTGTGATACGCCAGCCCATTGTACTTCGGGCCGCTTCACCCTAGGCAACAAAACTTGATAGCGATCCTACCCTTCGGGTGGGATAGAAATGGAATGGTTTTTTCATGTTGGTGAGTGAGTTGACTTGGTGTGCTTTTTCGCCTCCAGCGGCTCTCTGAAACGCGTGATCGGTTCTTCTTTTGACCAGGATTCGCAGTTTGGTGGCATCATGCGGATGAGGGTATAAAACGGTGCGTGAATCCGAATCTTCCAAAGTACATAAGACTGTAGCAAGCTCTGCTGCAAGTTCGCCTGATGCAGAGATCTTGACTTGGAGTCAATGCTTAGGGCGGGCGGGCACCGCCTATGCCTGTCCTGGCTGGGCCGTAGTAACCCCTTCTCCAAGTTTCTTTCAGTACTTTCAACCTCCTGCGGTGCCGAGCCTTTATTTTCGACCAACTGGATCCTATCATATTAATCGCAGGGTTTACGCATCATGGACTAATCCATGCAAACCGGTGCTGCAAACGATACTGAGTCTGCATTTGACGTCTTTTTCGTGAAGCAGCCAGACCCTCTGACCTGCATCTGAAGTTACTGTTAAAGATCTTGTAGATGAGTACTTCGTAACGCTCTTGAAAATACCTAGGATCGATGGCTCATCGGAGGGCCAGATGGAGCGTCAAGTCAAGATGTTTCGTCGGCTTTTCACACAGCTGGTCAATACCTCGTTCTACAAAGTTGGTGCGTGCTAACACGATATAAATTACTTGACGTGCAAAACTCTCCATGACATCATGCATGCGACGATATACTGCATGCTACATAATCACCAGAATACACCTGGATGATGCACCCCCCTTATTCCTCTGATGCACGTTCGGCCTCTCCCTCCATGACTACAATTCGTGTTAAAAGAAGAATCGAACCCCTGCAACGCGAGACTCATGTCCTCAACCTCTTCATTGCACTCAAGATCAGTGACTATGACATGTTCTCACCGCTCCACACTTTGTGAAGGAATGACCTTTTGACGTTGAGCAGCTGGCTAGAGGATCTTGTTGGAGAATTTTCATGGAAATATCGTGCTTACTTGCCCTCCCACTATGAATTCCGGGGTGTTCTACGACGACGACAGACTGGGTTTCTAGATTCTGAATCCGAATGTGAGAGCACACCGTGTTCGAATCCATTCAGCAAGTTGTCCATCTCGTTCACGCTCATTTCGTGTTACCATTGTCGTACATTGTGTCCCAGTGACATGAGATAAATATGACAGGTTGGAGGTCATCGCAAAGGCAATCATAGCGCAGGTAAAGATGTGGCACAGTCTGGTATCCGTATCATACATAAGGGACGGTTCAAAATACATCAGAGGGAGTGGGACGAGTAGGTAGGCCACATCAACGAGAGTCCATCGAGAGATGTAAAGGCACGCGACTCGTGGATAAGGAGAAAATCATGAGCTAATGGCGATCATCTATATATCCACGAGAAATGCAACCAATAAAGAGCCAGAAGCGAGCCCAGAGTTCGGGGTGTCCTATCATGGCATGAAGGCGTCAACGTTGTAGCTGCGGTAGCATTGCCGACATGAGGTGTGGTGGATGGACTGGAGACCATAACCTGTGGTTGCGAAGGTGGCTGGGTGACATTGGACTTTAAAGGCCACGAGCTGCCCATAGTAGAGATCTTCAAGGGCAATAGTCTTTTACGTTTCTCCCTATGTAGAGTTGAATGTCCTAGAGAAAGAAAGAACATACATGTTTGCCCTTCGCATATGGAACCTCGACAACTTAGCTGCGCTCTTGCAACTCGGTGCCTTCACTACTTTGTCCGCGACGCATCAAAAGGGCTTGAGCTCACTTGAGAGGGGAGGACAGCGACGTATCATGGGCATTGGAGAGGCTGCGGTGGGAAAAGGGACGGAGGCGTGGGAGGTATAAAAACAAAAAAACGAAGTGACAGTGATGTCAAGAATATACTCGAGCACCATGTGGCGAGACTCCATCGAAAAATCCTTGGGGTGTCCAATAAGCAGGCGGACGTCGCTGGACTGGACGTCGTGTAGCATCAGACTACAGTACATGTATTGAGCACGACGGGGTCTTTTAATGAAGGTGTCACGTACACGGAGTACCGACTTGTTGTCCCGGCGGAGCGCGTTCAGTTGTGAGCACGTAACACAATGAGACATGCTTGTCAACTCACCTTTGGATTCGAAAGAAGATCGTCGTGGCCGGCTTCTTTAACAATCATAGCAACATCCCATATGTACGCATTTTGGTCGCGGCAGCCAGTGCTACTGGCCTTTCCATCTTGTTGAGCGATGCGCTTGCGAGGATGCGATCAGTTGGAGAAATTGCAATGGCCCAGAAGTATTATGTTCAACCAGAACCGCGGTTTGCGTAGTAACTAGTGAGCGCTAGCAAGGGTCCATATAAGCGCTCAGTCATCGATGATCTCATCGTCCACAGTTGGACACCCCTTATTAGCTAAGCATGCTACCACTTGTTGGTTCACTCGAAAACATCACATTCTAGCAGTACTGCCCTTTATACATCATGTCTACTGCTGTCAAAGATTCTCTCTCCACTCATCCACCTCGGAATACTAGTACCAAACCTAGGAGCAGCCACTCCCGGGCCATCTATGACGATAAGAGTATTAGGCCCGAAGCCTACAAACCCCTCGAGGCCTTTGACTTCGACCCAGTTCTAGTGCCAGTGGCCAAAGGTGTTTTTGCAGTTCGATCCTCCAGCAAAAGCCATCAAACTCGCGAAAGAAAGAAAAATCCGATCGCGACTGATAGGTTGAACTATTTGTTAGATAGTTTTCAGCATTTTGTAGCAGAGGATCCTGAGATGTCGCCGTCAAGTATGCAATTAATCCTAATCGCATTGAATGAGCTGACCTGATTTTCTCGTCTTTAAGCCCTACGTGTATGCCAAGAAGTCCTCCGGTTTATCGCAAAACCAGATCGTCAGCACGAGTGCGAGGTACGCGTCTGACGAACTTATCCTGGTATAGTAATTGTGAGGCTGACCACCATCAATCTCAAGGAGTTTTATGGGATTTGGCGGGTTGAACACGAACAATTAGCGAGTTTCATCGACGAGTCGTGCAATTTCGGTGTAAAGTCAAGGTGCGTTCGAAATAGATCTTGGTCTGTGCATCGGTTCTTACCACAACACTACAGATTGACGTACTTCGAAGCTGGCAGTACATTGATCGTCGAGGTGCCCTCGGCGGTTCATGAAGCTCCTCTTCTCGCACTCCACGCGGCCCTCACGTGTTTCTTCGGGAACATTCCCTTTGACGGTCAGGCAGTCAATGCAATCATCTCAAGCAACATCCGAGCATCCAAGTCACTCGTCCCTGATCTCCGAATTTCCTTCCAAAATATGTGGGATACCGCCTCCAAGACCGTCATTCTCGGCCTTGCAGAAACCGCATTTTCACAGAACTTGGAAAAACTGGAGGAAAAACTAGTAGCTGTTATCGAGGCAAACCTAGCCTTATCGCTCGTGTTTGCCATTGTTGTATCCGAAGACGCACCCTACCGTTCACTCAAGAGGAACTAGCATGCACGCTACCGCAGGATCCGTTGGAACGGTCAGAAGAAGACTTCCTGGCTGTGACAGGTGTCCTCCCTACCCTCAATGTGCCGGTCATCGTAGAAAGCCACACATGGTGCTCAGTATCCTCGATATGGTTCAAGTTGTGGGTGCGCGGTCACAATCCTATAGACATTTCCATTGATGATCCAGATTTAGTCGCATATGGGGTGATGTTTCCATTTCATTTCAAAGTTCGTACATAGTTAACGCTACTTTTACAGTCTCTTTCCCAGAGCACACCACGGGTCCGGTACTAGCTATGATAGAGAAGGGAGTTAACGCAGTGAGGGAGAGATTGGTATCATTGTGCAAGGAAATCAACATCGACGTCGACGTCGACGCTCTGCGAGACCCCGTCGTTCGCATGAGGAAAGAAGATATCGTCACGAATATTGCAGGCGCTATGTGCGAAACCGCATACCGCCGCTACTCAGAATGGTACGAGAAGGCATCGAAAGCTGCAAAGCGCAAAGCCAGTGTCGTGCAGCTGCAAGACTCGAATATCACCTGGATACTCAAGAAGGTAGTTAAGGGTACTCCTGGCGGTGTTGCGGCCAAACACCGCAAGGGGACTTGATGCGTCCTTCAACCTCATTTGCAAGGCTCACTGATTGTCGAAGTTGTTTGTTTTTCTCATCTCTGTTTTTCTGTATAACATACGTACTAGGGACTAGTGTACTGCCATCGTATGACATGGTAATGTCCCCTATGAAAGCCCAAGAATTCAAGTACTTCTATCTCTGTTTTTTTTTTTTTGCAATGTGGCGGTTACAGCAAACATGGGAATATGGCGTCTTGCACGAGAGCGCATCCAGCCTATCTTTTTGTACGAGGGTCGGATAGATAAACCCCAGAGATCGATCAGGTGAGCCTCATCAACAACCATGATACATAACCGTGTTGCAAACGCCTTGTTATCCATGACTGTTCGAAAGCCTGATGATTCGAGTTGCTCCGGAGATAGCAGGATAATTACGGTCCCTTGGGCCTTGGATCAGAGGAAAAGTTTTTACCGGGTGCAAGTGGCGGATTTTTGGACAGCATGCACATGCAGCACACCCACAAGTTCCCGGTTACGATTGGCTCGAGGATTGTCTCTGCATTCTACGTCCCACCGCCTTACAGTCTTGTCCCAGGATTCGCTCCGAGAACACTTGCCAACCATCTCGACTCCAGCAGACAGACACCACTTGTTGTCTATGCCCCGTCCATTTCGCGACAACCTTGCATGATTCGATGTCCCACAACCTCACTGCACCATCTGAACTCCCGCTAACCACTTTTTTTCCCGTTCGGAGACAACGCTATATTGTTCACTGCACTTTCTCCGTCCTGCCAGTCTTCTCCTATTTGTTTCCCGTTCTTCAAGTTCCATACCCGCAGCGAGCCGTCCTCTGAACAAGTGATAATCCGCTGTCCGTCGGGCAGGTGTGTGATGCCCCAGACCGGGCCCCGATGTAGTGTGTCCTTATTGATCGATAGGACTATGTGTAGATGAAGCCATGCGCTCGCACTTGTCTCGAGCAATCTTGCAGTCTACGAGAGACTGGGAGAGTGCTCGAGTCTTTGAGCATCTGACTTCAAAACCACTGGCTTCAATCAAAAGGTAGAGAAACTACGCAACGTTAAATGTGTGATGCACTTTGTTTGACACCTTGATGCGGTCAGGAGATGCATGAAGTGGTAAGGACTAGAACGAAACGAGTCTAGATACATGAATTAACAAGAGAATGCGTATGAGCTACTAAAGATACTCACCTCAGCGAGATGTTAAGACAACGCTGAGGTGAGGTGGCGCAAACGGCGCTACTAATATACTGGCATGTAGTGTCCTGTAAATTTGGTGTATGCTAATTTACAGGTGCTAATTAGCGCTAATTTACTGTGTTAATCTGGGAGGCCCAAAATGCCCTGTTAATTAGGGTTAATATGCTGTATCGGCCGATCTGCTCGAAGTGTTCATCTGCTGGAATAAGTTGCTCGATTTTTGAGGCAAGCCATTAGCCAACATCAAACACTGGCCGAGGGTCACCAATGGTTGACTCGGAGACAGCACTTGCACACGAACACACCATGTCCACCATCGCATAGTTGAACTCTCCGTGTCGTGCTAATCAAAATCTCAGGACACTTCAAGATCATATCAAAATTCGACAGTGGCATCGTTATAAACCTGAGGTATGTGTTTCTGGCTAGCACCTCAACCTCAAATCAGTGAATCACACTCGTACTATGCAGAATGTAAATCCCGCCAAAAAAAATTGCTTGTTCGATGGCGAGACATGAACGAAACCATTTTCCGCAAGCGCACACTGGCAGCGTCAGATATGGATATGTTTGAAGACCTTCCACTCCCTGGACGCCGTCCACCTCAACCGAGACCCTTCAACTCCAATCCACCCAATGATGAGCGAGGACTGCCGAGCGAGCTTGAAAAGGTTGATGACTCATACTTCTTGCTTGGAGGGGCAAATGCATCTCCCTATCTCCGGGACTTCCTGGGCGAAACACCCCGAAACGTGAATCCCCACGCCAAGGTGTTAACAACATCGTCCATTGTTGCGTCGTCGTCGTTAGAGGCACTTTCTGATGCAAAAACCTGGGATGTATGGCCGTAGAACCACATTTACCCTAATTAACAGTTAAATTCGTCAAATTTACAAGTAAATTAGCGCTAATCAGCAGACTTGCAAATTTACGCTAATTTACATAGGTTAACTTGATCTCCCGGATAGCCTCTGCTAATTAGCCCTGTTAATCTGGCCTCAGACCAGATTTACAGGACACTACTGGCATGGCGAATCTGTGGCTGAGTGTCGAAGGTGAAACTGTACAGTACGTAGCACATGGTGCAAGATGATATAGTGCCGGTCGCATATGTTGCCGAGATAACAAAACAACTGAATGAGGACGTACGGTTACCACAACAAGAAAACACCAACAACCAACATGAAGCAATACACCATTAAACTTGATGTCATATCACTCACTTAAGATGAAGAGCATGTTGTCAGGGCGGCCTGGAGTGAAGATCTGGTTTCTCAGTGATATACCTCGTGTCGGGTGGCAAAGCAGAACGGGGGTTATTTTCCAGTAGACTCAACAGAAACCAGTGTGTATCTGCACTCAATCTACATACTCGACATTATATCCCACATAGCATACGCTGTAAACTTAGCATGCAGAACTCCGTTACGGACACATGATGTCAAACCTTCCATACCTTAGCTTGGTGAAACCACTTCGAGACGACAATGGATTGTTTGCTTAAACACCAAAACAGCCGAGACATGCGTCCAATATATGCATGTCAGTATAGGGAGAACGTTGCAAAATTAGATAGAAACGGTGTAGTGCACGATGCGACATCAATGCATCAGTGACAAACT